GGTGGAAAGATTCCCATATTCATAGATTGGTAGAATCAACACAGTAAAAATAGCTATACTATCAAAAGCAATCTGCATGGTCAACATAATTCCCATCAAAATTTCAATGACATTCATCACAGACACTGAAAAATCTGTGCTACAGTTCACTTGGAAACACAAGAGACCAAGAATTGCCAAGGCAATAATCAGAAAAAAGAACAATGCTGGAGGTATCACAATACCCAACTTCAAACCCAAATTACAAAGCCATAGCAATATAAGCAGCATGGGACTGGCAAAAAACAGATATGAAGACCAGTGGAACAGAATAGAGGACCTGGATATGAATCCACACAGCTATGCCTACCTTATTTTTGACAAAGGCGCTAAAAACATACAGCCTCTTCAACAAATGTGCGAAAAGTGGTTATCTGTCTGTAGAAAACTGAAACTAGACCCATGTCTATTACCCTGTACTAGTATCAACTCAAGTGGATCAAGGACCTTAATATTAGACCAGAAACTCTGAAGCTGGTAGAGAAAAGAGCAGGGAATACTCTGGAAGTAATAGGTATAGGCAAGGACTTCCTCAACAGAACCCCAGCAGCTCAGCAACTAAGAGAAAGGATGGAGAAATGGGACTACATGAAATTAAAAAGCTTCTGCACAACAAAAGAAATGGTCTCTAACTGAACAGACCACCCATAGAAAATATTTGCTAGCTATACATCAGACAAAGGACTGATAACCAGAATATACAGAGAGCTCAAAAAACTAACCCCCCCAAAAAAAACAATGAACCAATAAAGAAATGGGTAACTGAACTAAACAGAACTTTTTCAAAAGAAGAAATCCAAATGGCCAAAAAGCACATGAAAAAATGCTCAGCATCCCTAGCCGTAAAAGAAATGCAAATCAAAACCACACTAAAATTCCACCTCACCCCTGTTAGAATAGCTATAATCAAAAATACCACTACCAACAAATGTTGGCATGGATGCAGGGGAAAAAGGAACCCTCATGTACTGCTGGTGAGAATGCAGGCTAGTACAACCACTCTGGAAAACAATATGGAGGCTTCTTAAAAAAATTAAACAAATATCTGCCATATGATCCTGCAATCCCACTCCTAGAGATATACCCAAAAGAATGCAACTCAGGTTACTCCATAGGCACCAGTACACGCATGTTTATTACAGCACTATTCATAATAGACAAGTTATGGAAATAACCAACATATGAATGGATCAAGAAAATGTGATACTTGTACCCAATGGAATTTTACTCAGCCATGAAAAAGAATGAAATCTTATCATTTGCAGGTAAATGGATGGAACTGGAAAACATCATTCTGAGCGAGGTCAGCCAAGCTCAGAAGACCAAAAATTGTATGTTCTTCTTCATATGTGGACTTTAGACCTAAAACAAATACAGTAGTATTATTGACATAGGTCACACGCTAAGGGGAGAACACATACATGAGGAACAGGGAAAGGTAGGAAACCCAAAAATTGAAAGTGTTTGATGTGTCCACTGTAGAGGAGTTAACAGTAACCTTAAAATACCAGAGGCCGCTATGGGAAGGTGACCGAGAAGTAGTGAAGAGGAATGGTAGAGATGAGCTAATTCGGGCTGTAATACACATATGCATGGAAGCAATGCTAGGAATCTCTCTGTATAGCCATCCTTATGCCAAACTAGCAAAAACGCTATGTCTTTCCTGTTACTGCTTATCTCTTCTTTTCAACAAAATTGGAACAGGAGGCAGAACAGGTTCTGTCTGGAAGTGAAGGGGGTGTGGGGGAGGAGGAGATGATGGGGGTGGGGGGATGAAATGGCCCAAACAATGTATGCACATATGAATAAGTAAGAAACTACATGTATATGTATCTATGTATATATACATAGATATATATATATGTGTATATATATCTGTGTGTGTATATATATATATATATATATATATATATATATACACACACAGATATATATATATAAAAGAAAAAAGGTTTTTGACTGAATGGTAGTTGGTGATGTGGCTTGGAAAAATACTACTGGGAAGAAGTCACTGGAGAACTAGAAAAATTGAAGATTGAAATAAATTGTAAAGGAAAAGATGATAAAAAAGGTATAAAAATCTGTAACTGCCAGCTTGTGAACTAACCTCAGTGAAATCTGCTTTTCTGTGTACTCTATAGACTCTCACGCAGGCTCAAGCTGATGTACTCTGATGTGAATGAATGTGCATTTGCAGATCAGGGAACCCTTTTCTCAGTAAATGCTGAATGTCCACGTTCTTAAGCTATAGCAGGTTTACCCACCCAAATTCCGAAACCATTCTACCACTGTGAGTTCACTTACCTTGAGCTTGGAAATGCATTCATGGGTGGGAAGGAAAGAAATACAGTCACACTTCAGGCTAGCAAAAGTTTGGGAGAAGGTGAATTGACTGGCTTCTAGAAATTTGAGAGAAATTTTGTATTAGAAATTAACTGAATGCATGCCACAAGCAACAAATCAGAAATCAATCCTGTGCCTTATTTAGGGTTTTGGGTATACTGAAGTGGAAATTGAGGTAAAAATTTATTTAAATGTTTGAGAATCTTTGTTATGAAGAGGCAAAA